TCACATACCCTGTACTAACAAGTTTTCCTTCATAGTGAATAACAAGAACACACTTGAAATTGATTGTACAAAAGAATTGTCCAAAACATATATTTGCATTTACTGCTAATTTATAGTTCATGCTTTTGCACACTCTCTCTTTCTCTGTTATTCTCAGCTAATGAATAAAAGGCTCATGACATCATTTCATTTGTGAAGTGGATGAAAATTGTGCATTGAGTGCCAGGTTGTTAGTCAGATCACATGTCCTTCATAGGATGGAATTCAAATCTTGATGGAATCTTTGCCAATCTAAACATACTGGTGGTATCTTTACAAATATTTCAGGGGCAAATAGTTCAGTGGCATAAGTGGTGTTCCACTAGTGGAGAAGGCCCACTTGCAGGATGGCACTTAGGTTTACAGAGCCTTCCAGGAATGCAGCTGAAAAACTTCAGTAATGTATATGTTTCACTAACAGTGTTATGCTGGTGGTGTGGGTGAAAACTGGCCATGTTGAAGAGATTTAGGAAAGTATGAATCAAAAAGATGCAAACCTCTTGTCCTAGCACACCAAAAAGTATGACCATAAAAAACAGAACACTAAATAAAGATGATATAGTGGCTGTGTGTGTCTACAGTTGGAAGAATGTTAAATGAGAAAAGAATCTCAAGACAGATAAGTGAGGAAAGGAAAAATTCTATTATTCAAAAATGCATGAAAGCATTGCAAATAGAAATAAGGCAGAAGTCTGAACAGCAGGCAAAGATGCTTAAGTCCCCTCATGGAGTCAATTGGTGCATGAAATGTTACATATGAGCAGACTGAAAACTACAATTCTTGCCTGATGTGTAGCCAAAGGAATGTGTGACCTTAGATAGGTATTTGACAATCAGTGTTGATCTCTTTCAGAATCACTAAAGGTACAAAATGACGTTAATCTTCTAAACCCTTTCAGGGTTCCCTGGACAACAGATGTCTGATTTGGTTTTCTTTTTTCCCTCTGCCAACTGATATAGGAGCCTTGAAGCTCAGGACATTCAGATGTTAAACTGAAAACCTGTGTTTCTCTGTTTTTCTTTTACAGAACACATTGCTAAAAATACAGTTAAAAACAGCATTAGATGTGTTACGCTTCCAGAAATCAAACAAACTCTTATTAAAGAGATCTTGTTTCATTTAATAGACATGGAACAAAAGATGTAAATTGAGATACACAAATGCTTCAGATACAGATGGTAAAACATCAGTCAATTGATTTGGCAAAATGGGAAAGCCCAGTTTTCCATTCCATTCCTGCTTAGAAACCTTTGTTTCATACTTATTCACCAACAGTATTTTTTGAAAGAAGATTCTGGGTCCATATGTGATTCCAATACCAAAGGGGACTCTAAAGCTGTAAACATGGCAGTGCCAAACCTAGATTCTAGGCTGTGATTTTCAGTTAAGCCATAGAAGAAGAAAAATATTTGGCATGCAAACCCAAGAATGAAAAAAAAATAATTATCACAACTCACTAATTAATCCAAGGTTAAATAAAATATCCAGAAATACAAATGTCTTACCAATTTTACATCTGAAGTTCCCCATAAAGTCAATTTTGCACAAGAAAGTGGATCAAAATGTTGGCCATATACCTAACCTCCATGAGATTTCATTAGCAAATTTATCAAATTTAGCTTCCTCATTTTAGATACATTTCTGGGAAGAATTATTTCCCAATAAGGAATAAGATTGGAATATCACTCAAATTATAAATACACTGTAAAATATAGTATCTCTGATCGGCCTCACTTCTGACAGTGAACTCTTAATTGAATAGCCAGACAATTCACAAAAATTATTGGTCAACTGCATGAAACCTGCAATTGCTGACTGCGGTTTTTTGTGTGGTCTGTGTTCTGTTTTTAGATGATGAAAGTAAAGAATTTAGAATTATAAGCTATCATGTGCAAAGCAACGAATGTTACTCTGTCTAACAAAATAGGGAACCCCTAACTAGGGGTTCCAAACAAACCAGTTATCCACAGAGAATGTGGACATCCTTGTTATCTCTTTGAAGTAAAAAGGAAACGATCACCATAATTCCTGACTCTAGAGAATGAATATAAAATTCTGAGCTATTTAAAAATTTCACATGAGAGCCAAAATTATTTAATGCAGCAAAGATAAATTTCCAGTGAATTTTCATCATCCAAAGAAACACTGGAAAGTTAGTCTGTTTTATTAGCATTTAACACTACCAGATCAACAACTAATCTAATATGTCAAATAAATATCACCTGATCTGATTAAACCAGTGTTGTGGAGGGTTGCAATTTATTATCCAGAACTGCTGTTAATATTTTAATATCTAGGTTACTTAATAGACTAAGTCTATAATGCAATGAGTGTGTTTGTCACCAGGCTTCGAAATCATAGCAATAGCAGCAGTGTTTAATGATGGAGAAAGGAAATCCCATTCAAAAATATGATGATAAGGATGAAACAACAGGAAGCAAAAGGTCATGAAATGTTTTCTACCACTTACTTTAATATATGAAATAGCATGTTATTTATTTATGTAAAAATTATAACACCACACCTCCTAATTTAAATAGAGCCTACATGTCTTAACTGCTTGTGATTTAAATGGACTCTAAAGTCCTTAACCAAGTTTGGCCAAGGCAAATAACATTTCCTGAGTCGACTGCATGTCAATACACAGGGCTGGTATCAAGAGCAGAAATGGTTGATTCCCTGGTAAGGGGCCTTGGAGTTGTTTCTCTTCTTTTCCACTGCAACTACTCTGCACTGCAACCTCATTTTGTGCTTGCCTCCTGCTCCAACCAGATAATGGAGGTGAAGAGGAGGAAGGGTAGAAACCATTGTCTACTTGCCCAGTGGCTTTCTGCCTGCCAAGCCAGTAAGCAATAGCAAATTAAAAAAGAGGTGAAAAACCAGCAGCAGCTGCTGACAACAGCAGTGAGACTGGAAACTTACTGAGAGAGGGGGGCATTGATAACATTTTGCCTGAGAGCCTTCAAAGACACTGTGGGAAGCCTTTCTAAAGTCTCAAATGGACAGCGACTGTACCCACAAGTGGCATGTTTGGGCAGCTCACCAGCATGGCATGCGTCAGTCACTCTGTGTGGATTAAGCAAATAATAAAAATAAATATAAAATAATAATAATTAATAAATAAAATAATAAAAATATAAAATAATAATAATAAAAAAAAGCAAATCAGGACCACACCTGATACCGGGAAAAGACAATCTGTGCCAGCATGACAGAGGGCAGGGTGGTTAATCCTCATACAAGTTGTAGCACCTGGAATGAATATGCAGCTGGCTAAATGTCCGCCACTGTTTGATTGAAGCACAACTCTTAATAAACTGGAATGTCTGGGTATTATGCAATATTTTATCTACTTCATAGGAGAGTAAGCCTTTAAAGCTTTGCTGCAAGTACACAGTTTTATTATCCTTGTCTATAAGAAAGCACTTAGAGGAAATGCTGATTGTGTACACCTGTTCAAAATGCTCAGGTCACCCAATGCATAGTTTATAACATCCATTATCAAGCATACATTTTAAACCATGAACTCATAAGCTGCACTTTCTTTTTGTCAGTTGAACTGATGGCACAAAAGTTTTGCTTTGCCTTTAGGTGGGGAGGCAGGAACTGGATCATTAGTGAGGTCCATACATTAGTCTTTCCCTTTTAAATCATATTTGTTTCTGCACAATTTAGATACCTTCGCCTTTGAGATATTTTTGAGGAGGAATGGCCCATGAGGTCCCATGAGAGATGAAGAGTGGTCTTTTTCCTTCTCCTGTGTCCTCATTAGCCATGCCACTCACAAGACAGCATCAGGTTCAGGCAGTTGCTGTTCAAAATGAAAAATAAAACAGAACATAAATTCTATATTAAAATGGTGTGGCACAGGCATGAACTTTGCAATGCTTCCTTTCCTAGAGGGCCAGCTGGGCAAGGGGACAGAAACCGGAGAAGCAGCTGCCTCTGCTGTAGTAGTGGGATCACAGCTGGCCCCTTTTCCTTGCTGGGCCTTTGGCTGCAGTGCACCCACACCAACCCATGGCATAGGGCCTGCACACTCACAGGGTTCTCCAAGGAAATGTGCTACTTTTATTTTATTTATATTTATTTATTTTATTTTTATGTATCTAAATAAAATTTATATACATCCATTCATTACTTTTATTTATATTATTGTATTTATTTTATTTTATTTATATTAAAATTTAGTCAGATAAGAAATGGAAATGTGAATGCAGAATATTTGCTAAGATTGAAGAGAGAGACTTGATGATGGGTGTGCCTGGGTGGGTGGGTGTGCATGTGTGCACATGCGTGCATATGTGCGCATCAGGAAAGGTGATTTAGCCTCTGATTCAGATCTCAAAATGTCTTGCAGCAACATTGCATGCATCTGCACATTTGCATCATGAATGAATCAGAAGTTCACTGTACATTTTTAAATGCAATTCAGCTGGGATACTCATATCTCTTTGAATGAAAGGAACAGGTCATAGAAATCAGAGAATCACATATATGGGTAACATTCTGAGACATTTGTTTACAGGTTTGAAAATGCAAACTCATACCACTTAGAATAGTGTCTATCATACTGAAATTGTCACATGATGCTTGTTCACTCCTTTGGCACTTGTGGCCCCAAATAAATATTGGTTAGACCACAATGTGGTTTTAATTCTAGTTAAAATTAGTGCCAAGCTTGCACAGTTATTACCAAGCATGATTTATATGACACATTAACTATAACATTTTTTTCCTTTCTGTGCTAGATGTGTCTGTGAAGGGTCTGCACTTTTCTTAAAAATTGCTTGACTCTATGCCTTTTGAATTTCTAGTAAGAAAAGAAATCTGTAGCTTTATTCAATTTCTTTTCTTCTAAGAACAGAAAGAATTTTTAATAGTGGAAATTGAGCCTTCAGTTTGACATAGAATCAATATTTGTGCTGCTTTGTAAGAGTTACTTTTTGTCTTCCTGCAGATGCATATTGATTGAAAAGGATATTTCAGCATGCATGCTTATAAATGGCTCTCTCTTGCTCTGACCCTGTCTCAGTTTGGGCCATCTCTTCCCTGTACGTACAACTGTAACACTGAAGACTTGGAACAAGCATTTGTGAGACCTCGGAGAATGAGACATGGTGGTGTTCGGAGCTTGCTGTTTGTGCAGGAGCAACTCATGTTAACACATACTTTGAAATTGGGCCAGGTACAGTAACTCTAACGTGGGAGGTTTAGCAGTGAACTGAGGTGTTGATTGGTATCTACCTGCTTTGCTGAACTTTCTTTAATCTGGCCTAATAAAAGAACAAACTCCCCAGAGTCCAGCAACTTCTTGAGAGGATGGATACAAGAATGCACATTGATACAAAAGCATGCTTCTACCACATTTCTTCTGCAAAATAAGGGTACAGAACCTCTGGCCAAATCCAGCCTTCCAGAGGCCATAATCCAACCCTCTGGGTTTCCTCAATAGTCCCTGTTCCCTTCCCCTGCTGAACCCCCTTCTCCTATGATGGTGGTGGCTTTGGTGTCTTCCCAACTTTTGTGCAGTTTCTCCTTCACCAAGATTGAAAGGGTTTGCCTAAGGATTACTAACTGGCAGTAAATGCTTTAAAGTAAAATATCCTTGCATTTTTATTATTTATTTATATTTTGCCCTGCCTGACTTGCCTTTGAAATGTTGCTAGTCAGGAACCTGTAGACTGAATACATTTCTGCATCCCAACCACAGTCTTTTCCTTGCAGTCTGAGCATGACAAAATCAGTTTAGACCCAGGTGTCCTGCTTTAGTTGAAGTAGACTCTGAGTGGAGGGGCGATCCAAAAATTAAAGGTGATAAAATAAGAACATATTTAAACACAAAGGTTTCACACCTAAAGGGGTTAGTGATATGTGAATAATTCACTTTGGGTGTGGGAATCAGTTAGATATTCTCATTTCAGCTCTTCAGACTCCAGCCCACATTCTCTGTACCCTAAGTCCATCTCACACTGAGCATTCGCATGAGCAGGAAATGAGTACAAGCTGGTCTTCAGTTCTCTGCAAGCAAAGACCTGTTTCTGCACTTATGACTTGCAGGATCTGCATACATGGAACTATGGAACTAGTGTATATTGCACAAAGAAGCCACTAGTGTTTTCAAATGTTCACGAACTTTATTTTGGCTTGACCTGCTTCCTGGCATGAAAAGAAGGCTGGCAAACACAAGAGAGATGTATTCTGGCAGATGTTTTTATCCCTAATGGGAACCAGGCTAAGGCAGGAATGATCAAGGTGGCAAAGAGAAATGAAATTGTAGTTAAGCAGTCAGATGTACAGTCAAGCAGGAGTCAAAGGATCAGATGCACAGCCCATCAATCAGAGGGCAAAATGGGGAAGACAAGGAAGAAAACACTGGAGCTGAAAGAACAGCATTCATTCTAATACTAGTTGGGCAACCACTGAAAGATATTATAGCCAAAGCACACTGAGCCCCAGCCAAAGCTCAGCTGATGTACATTTGAGCTCTCTGGCCTGATCCCTACTCATAAGAAGTAACTTTCTCCAGAAGAGTTCTTATTTCATAGGATCAATTAATAGTAGAGTTGAAAGGGACCAAGAGGGCTATCAGGCCCAACCTCCAGCTTAAGTTATACCATTCCTAAGAGATGGCTGTCCTGCTACATCTTGAAAGGCCTATAGGGTGGGAAAGCTCCCAACCTTCCTAGGTAATTGGTTTCATTCTTCTACTCTTCTAACAATCAGGAAATTCTTCTTGATGTTCAGTCAGAACCTGAGCCCATAATTATATGCCCTGTACTCAGGGATCATCAAGAAAAAATTATGGCTTTCCTCTGTGTGATGAGCTTTCAGGTACTTGAAAAACACTATCATATATCTCCTCAGTCTTCTCAATGCTGAACCCAGTGTTCATCTCTTCCCAAAGGGCTTTGTTTCCAATAGCTGAATCATCTTTGTTGTCTTCATCTGAACCCTTTCCAGTTTATCTGCATCTTTCCTAAACTGTGATGCCCAGAACTCCCAATGAGGCCTAACCAGTACTAAATGGAAAGGAACTAGTACTTCACATGATTTGCAAGTTATACTTCTGTTAATACATTTGCATTTGCCTGTTTTGAAGCCATTCACACTGTTGACTCATATTCAGCTTGTGATCTATTATTAATTTATTTATTCATAGATTTCATTTTATTTCTACACTACCCCACATCTGAAGTTCTCTGGGAAATTAGCTTCTCAGCCTTTCGGCTAAGATCAAGTATAGTGCTAACTGCAAAAGTAGGAATTGAACAGTTCTGGTTTTCGTTTTCATTTTCGTTGTCTTGTGCAAGAGAAGGGTAATCTGTAATCATTTGCCATTCTCATTAAGTAGCTGAAACCCCATTTCTTATCTCTGTATTTTACTATGGATCACTTGAAGAAAGGGTTTTTGTTGGTTTTAATGTTCCTTAATAACCTCAGCTTTACCCTTCCTGATACTATTCCTGCAATTCCATGCTACCTGCCTGTACTCTTCCTTTGTAGCCTGGCCTTCCTTCCATTTCTTATTCCTTTTTCATTTTCAGATCACCTCTAAGTTTTTTGTGAAGTCACATGGGCTTCTTCTGTTGTCTTTTACCTTATTCTTGTTAGAATTCTTTGAATTGTGCCTTTAGAATTTCCTTCATTCCTTTCTTCCCCCATCTTGGTCTTCTTTTCTCATTCAAGTCACTCACCATTTACTTACCATTATTCTGAGTTTATTAAAATTGGTTTCTTGACATCCAGGACACATGCTTGGCTACACTTGGGCTTTTACTTCTTTTAGAATCAAGATTTAAGTATGGAATGGTCACTTTCTCCCAGGCTTCCTGTAACTGCCACATCATTCACCAGGTCTTTCCTGTTAGTTAGAATCAAGATTAGCAATTTCTCCCGTTCCTTTCTCCGAAATCTATCATCCAACAAATACTGAAATCCCCATAACTACAACATTATGTCACCTTGTAACACTGGCATTTTGCTATTCAAAAGTTCCATTCTCATCTCCTCCTTGACTGGGTGGTCAGTAATAGACACCAAACACTGTTCTTTGTATTCCTTTATCCATTAATATTAATCTAGATCCTCTCACTGGGGATGCTAAGCTGGGATGTCTCTATTTCTGTGCAGAGATATGTATCTTTAACATGTAGTGTGACTTCCCCTCCCTTCCTGTTCCTTCTTTTCTTTCTGAACTCCAGGCATGGGAGTCATCCCACCAAGTTTCAGTCAAACCTACCCAGTCTTATTCGCCCTCCTGTATTAAGAGTTCAAATCCATGCTATATTTTTTGCACAGTCTAAGCATTATTATATAGACATTGCAGACAATGTGTTTTATATTCTAGCTTTTTCCTACATTTTTGGAAAACTATTATTGGGTATTATTAGAGCTTTCTTTCTTTTCATTTTGGTGCATACACCTTTTTTCATTCCTACTTCTTCCTTCCCCATTGGATTCATTTCAATATTTTTTAATAAACTTTTTCATGAGATGCCCAAGCACATTATTTCCAGTCCTTGTAAGATGCAATCCATCCCTTGCCAGAGGTCTGTCTTCCAGGACTTGTAACCCGTGGTCTCAGAATCTAAATCATTCACATTGGCAACACCTTTGTAATATTTTTCTGTACCTTGCTATTTCCCTTCCAAGTGCTGGAACGATGAAAGAGAAAACTATCTGGGCCCCCAAACTCTTTACTTTTCTCCCAAAAGTAAAGCTTCACAGTCTGACATGATTTCTTCAGTGCTCTGCTTGACAGTGCATTTGTCCTAGTGGCATGGATAGAAAGAAAGGATAGGATGGATAAAAAGGAAGGGATATGTGTCAGTGGGCTTTATGAGCCACGACAATCCTTCCATTACATCTCCTTCCAGGGAGACAGCACACCTGGCAAATTCATGGGTCCTCACACCATATGTGTGTTTCCATCCAATGCAGAATCTTCCACAACTAACATTCTTCTCTTTTTGTAGGCCTTGGTATCACTGTCACTGCTTGACTGGCCTTCAGCCTCTTGCTCGGTGTTGCACAGGTTGACTTGTAGTTCTTCTGCTGCATACTGCCTTCCAGTCTGTTCCTCAAATACTTAAGAGAGTCCTGCAGTTCCTCTTCTTCCACTGGTAAAGAGTGACTTTTAGTTCTTCTGCAATTAAGTGTCACCCTGTGCGAGCAAGCACTCCTTCTCTCAGGAGTCCTTCTTGCCTGCCACTTGAGGCAACAAGTGAACGCCAAAGGGGTTGTCCAGTCTCTTCCTGCCACAGCAATGGACTACATTGCTCTCCTCCAAGGGCTCCACTTGGTTTGGTCCTCTGATCTGGCTGATCTGGTGTGTCCTCTGTGGCTGGGAGCTCTAGCTGTTCCTCCAATGAGGGTTCTTCCAGGTGGGCCATGACACCAGCTTTCATTTAGACATCAACCTCTGTTACTATGTAAGCTAGACCTAGAGATCTTGGGAGCCTATCAGTATTAAATGATATGATAATTGATGAAGTTAAGCGATACTATGGTCTTCTCTGGATTTTCAAGGGCAGAAGAATCTAACAGACACTGTGATTCAACTGCATATAGGATGGAGTGTCCAGGTCACAGGGGTATAAACAGAAATGGGATGTACACATTCATGAACATTTATCAGGGCTCTTCTGCTAGATAATTACTCCCACAATTAAAAGCAATATCAGCCATCGTTTTGATAAAAGGCTTTGAAATCCCTTTCTGTCTTCCAAAGCAAAAGAAAGGGCTCATTGATAAACTTCTGACAATTTTCTTCCACTGTTTTTCTTTAATTTTATTTTTGGGCAGCATTTTTACATCAGGGTAGATATACTGAACAGAAATGCAAGAGTTTACTAATACCATTTATACAGGCATTCTATTATGGTAATGAGGGGCTGATTTACCCCTCATTAATTTTTAATGAATCAGATTAATACTAAATCCTTTTACCAGTAAGAAAGCTCTGGGAATCTACATGCATTACATTAACATGGCTTTGCCACAATAAGCAATTATTTTTCACCCTGCTTAACATGTACACTGACTGATAATTTTCTTAATGATTCTTTTTTCTTTTTCAGCATTGCTCTTACTTAGTTACTTTTTCAGAAATCTAGCAACATGAAAACAAAAAGTTAAGTCAATGCCCTTTTTAATCTCTAGATCTTGCATCCTTTTCCTATAAGGCAACTTTTGAACTGAATGAATGGCAAAAAGTTTAACCACTAATTAACTAACACTAAAAATTTAATTGGGCCCAAAGGGTGAACTACTCCAAATTCATTAATTACTTTTCACAGCCTTTCGAAGCAATTTTTCTGGAAGTATGAGGTTTCATTTCAAAAGGAGCAAACAACACTTTGTACTCATGCATATATTTAAAACACTCCTTTAAAAGACAGGCCACAAAAATATGAGCACCATCTTTGAAGGTTTATTTTTTAAAAACCAACTGTATTCTGGGAAAACAAATATGGATTTTCAAATTGCACAAGGCATATAATACGGTAATGATACAGAGACCCTATCTTTATTAATATGAACCTCTACCTCTTCTATTATCTGCATTTATAAGCTGTTCCTCAAATTCCTTCTAAAACATGAATATAAGAAGTACCTTAGCAATCAAACACAAGCACTATCTAGTCTAGCATTCTGTGTATCACAATTTTAAATGCAATGCCTCTTTTGGCAAGTCTGGAAGCAGGGATAGGGACAATCGTGTGAAGAAGGGCAAGAAAAAGATAAACTTTACTGAGATCCAGAGCGGGCTGGCCCACGCTGTAACCCTGTTACCATGTGAGTGAAAACTGAAGCTAATGGTGTAATTCAATGCCTATTTAGACAGA